CCCTGCCATAACCTTCTCCCTCAGGAGAGCAGCCCTTAGTTACATTCTGAGTCTCTGCTAGTTCCTTCCTCAGTCCCTGCTAGTCCCTTCTCTCTGGCTCCAAACTTGGCCACTGCTATTTAACATATCTATGAAACCAGTTAAAGGCTATAGATATGTTAAATAACCATTCCTCCCAAGGTTAGCTCCAAAACTGTTGCTATGCAAAACAGCTCTCAATGGCCTGGCTCCATTCATCCCTTCCCCCTGGGGGGGGGGGTGGTGGTGAGGACATCTTATATGTCTCTCCAATATTTCTATACACTTTCAATTCTGGACACCTTTCTAAATCTTTTTTTTTTGTGCCCCCACCCCCCCCCCCCCCCCCCCGCTGGCTGCACCCTGTATCAATGTCACCATGATTGTGGCGAGTCTGGGAAAGGCAGTCTTGCTGCCAGCAAAAAGCAGCTCAGCAGTGTCTTAAAGTCCCTCTGTTTCTCGGTCAAAACAGCACTCCCATGTGGGTGACCAGAACACAGATGCGGTCGTGTCTTTTAGGGGCTGGAGTGGATCGAACTAAGATTGATAGGATTCCAAACTCTTACCTGTTAGAGCTCTGGAAGCTGCTGTGAGCGGACCAACACTTCCTGCAGCCCCAGAAGAAGAAGGTGGTGAGGAAGAAGACTGGGAGCATGAAGTCAGAGGCCCATGCAGTGTGGCCGGAAGGCCACCTCACTACATCAACCTCCTGAGAAGACAGAGCAGATATCCTTTGGACATTTGAAAAGGGGGCAGGATGAGGAACCTGTCTACAGGGAACGGCCAGGGACTGGAGGCCACATGTTGAATTGGCTAGCCATTGGTCACCTACAAATGTCCAGCAGGTTTTGGCCCTAGTGCACAAAGGAGCTGAATGTACCTTCCTACATGGACTCCCTGAGTACTTTCCAGGGCCTGCATAAATCTCTGTTGAGTGTGAGGGTGCAGGCTGTATGGCTCTCTCTGGGTATTAAGCATTTGCCCCTCTTTGAGTACATTGTTTATGTTTTCCCCATTCTTGAGTACATCCTGGCTATTGATGTGCTCCAAGGACTGTGGTTACACACAACCACAGAGGGGTTTCACCTGAGGGTTCGAGTGGTAACAGCCATGCTGAGGGGACATGCTGAGCATCCTCCCATACAGTTGCCACCCCCACGACAGGTAACAGTGGTGAAATAATATCAGTTGCCCAGAGCACATGAGGAAATTGTGGTAACTATAGGAGAGTGGGGAATGGTGGGGACAATTAGGGCTGCTCACAGTCCCTTTAACTCCCCCATGTGGCCAGTGAGGAAGCCAGATGGCACATGGAGAATGATAAGTGATAAGCCAGATTACCAGGAGCTCATTGAGGTTGTTCCTCCAATTCATGCAGCGGTGCCTTCTGTGGTAGACCTGATGGGCTGATTACCTAATGAGCTGGGGACTTACCACTTTGTAGCTGATGTAGCAAATGCCTTTTTCTCCATTGCCATTGCTCTGGAGTGTCAAGGTAGGTTGGCCTTCACCTGGGAGGGCTGACAATAGACCTCTACAGTACTCCCTCAAGGGTACTTGCACAGCCCTACCATCTGTCACAGGCTTGTGGCAGAGGACCTGGCTGAGTGGCCACCCCCTGCAGAAGTGTACCTGTTCCATTACACTGATGACATCTTGCTAACCAGTGATTCTCTTACAGAGTTAGAGAAAGCAGTGCCACAAATGCTGTCACACCTGGAGTCAAATGGCTGGTCAGTCCACGAGGCCAAGCTGCACGGCCCTGCATTGTCTGTCAAGTTCTTGGGGGTTGTCTGGTCCGGTAAGACAAAAGTCATCCCTGATGCGGTGATAGATGGGATTCAGGCGTGCCTGACCCCTACCACTGTGAAAGGGCCACAGACACTTTTGGGCCTGTTGGGGTACTGGAGAGCATTTGTGCTCACCTCCCACAGATTGTCGGCCCCTGGTATGCTCTGGTGAAAAAGGGAGCAAGCTGGGATCAGACCCTGACCTCAGGACAAGAGTTCCAAGGAGCAAAACCCACCATTAAACGCACTGAGGTCTTGCAAGCGCTGGATCCTGCTAGACTCTGTGAGCTAGATGTGAATGTGACACGTGGAAGTTTTAGGTGGAGTCTGTGACAGCGATCAGAACAGCTACATCAACCACTGGGTTTCTGGTCCCAGCTCTAGAAGGGAGCAGAGGCACGGTGCTCCCTGACTGAAAAGCAGCTGGCTGCAGTGTGTGCTGCCCTGTTGGCCACAGAGGCCATAATAGGAACTGCCCCCGTGACAGTGAGGCCCACACACCCCATCGCAGGGTGGGTCCAAGACTGGATGGCCAAGCCTTGTAGTGGGACGGCTCAGATGCCCACGTTAACTAAGTGGGGGCTTATCTGCAGCAAAGGAGGACTCTGTCAACTGGCTCCTTCTCAGCTGAGCTGCAGGAAGTGCTAGGTCCTGTTTCCTATTTAGATGAAAAATCTTCTGTTCTGTCCCTATGGAGGAACTGGACAGTAACCCCTTCCGTGACAGGCAGGCACCTATTCCCTCAGATGCCTGGTACACTGATGGGTCCAGCAGGTGTCAGCCTGCAGTGTGGATGGCTGTGGCAGTTCAACCAGAAACAGACACAATCTGGTGTGACACTGGTGTAGGCCCAAGTAGCCAGTGACAGAACTCAAAGCTGTGTGGCATGTGACTGTCAATGAAGCCCTGCCCCGACTATTTGCACAGGTAGTTGGGCAGTGTGCTTGGGGCTCACATTATGGACCTCTACATGGCATGCACATAAATGGCTGGTTATGCATAGGCCCTTCAGGGGACAGGTCTTGTGGCAAGACCTCTGGGAATTAGGCCACCAGAAACTAAGCACTGTATATCATGTGACTGGGCGTGCACTCCTGGCCTTCCCTGGGGATGATGAACCCAATGCTCTAGCCCAGGCGTGATGGCTAGAAACGGATCCCACCACCAGCCCATCAGGAAGGGAAGTAGCCTAGTGGCTATACTGTTGCCTCTTACATGCAGCACAGAAAACCATGTGGTTCACCATAAAAACTTAGGGGTTACCTGTCACCCTAGCAGAGGTGCGGGAAGCTTGTGAAATCTGTGTTGTCTGCTCGTGAGAGCATGCCCGGAGGCCTGTGGGAACTACTGGGCAGGTGGCTGCGGACAGTACCGCTGACACGGTGGCAGGTTGAAGTGATTGGGCCCCTACCTAGTTCAGAGGGGTATAGGTATGTAATCTCATGTGTGGACACGGCTACAGGACTTTAAGCTGCTTACCCCTCTGGCACCCAGATGAGAAAGCAGGAATTGCTGCACTGGAGTTGACGTGTGCTGCCTATGGTCGACCCCTAATTATTGAAAGTGTTCGGGGGAAGCATTTTACTGGGCCCTTGGTGTGACAATGGGCTTGAGACCTGCAGATTGACTGGAAATTCCATGTAGCCTATCCCTCTCAAGCTGCCAGAATGATTGAATGATACAATGGCCTCTTAAAGCAGGGCCTGTGAGCTGTGGCTGCCACCCCAGTGCTGGGTGGCTGGATGAAAGGCTTATATGAGAGGAGTCAGATGGGGACCCAGCCCAGCTGGGGCTGAAGCGCTGCTCCACTGGACTGCTGCTCCAATTCAGCTGCAGGTACAGACTAAGGGTGCTTTGCTGAAACAGGGAATGGGAAATATTGTCTTGCCTGCACCTGAGGGTCTGGAGTGAGAGCAAACAGCCACTTGGCCATGATCTTGGAGAATAAAGGCCCATTCCCCCTGCCCCCCACACTCATTGGGTGGTTGTTGTTGCCCCTTGGGACCAAGGGGTAGAGAGAAACCTGCACACAGTGCCCTGGATGGTTGAGACATGGCCCCCAGATAAACCCGGGTCAGCAGAACACAAAATGCTTTGTCACAGCACCTTTGTGATATCTCTGTGGCCCATTACAAGTTCTCCACTGTTGCTACAGGTAGATGCTGGACCTCCAGTTGAGGTGAAGTAGTACAACTACTTGTACATGCTCAATAAAAGCCAAGACTAGCCAGGAAGGAACTGCCCTATAAGAACAGAATCCCTCCAGCCCCTGAGGTAAATCTCTGCTCAGAGTTGGCCCACTCCCATGTTCCATGGAGTGTACTACCGCTTAATAAATCTGCTCTCTCCCATAATGCCATAAACTCTGTGTGTTTGGTTCAATTCTTTGTCCACGATCACCAAGAACCTGGTTACCTGTGCCCACCTGTGACAAGACTACTTATTATAGTGCTGAAATCTCTAAGGAATGAATGAACAAATGACTGCACATTGTTTTTAAAAAAAAAACTAAAAATGACAAGTATGTTATCATTTTCTTCTATTTTTAAATATATTTTATTGATTATACTATTACAGTTGTCCCATTGTTTTCTCCCCTTTATTCCTCTCCACCCTGCACCTCCCCTCCCACCAGCGTTCTCTGCCTGCCCAGTTCATGTCCATGGGTTGTACGAAATTCTTTGGCTTCTCCATCTCCTATACTATTCTCAACCTCCCGCTATTTTTTACCTATCATTTCTGCTTCTTATCCTCTGTATCTTATCCCCCATTCTTACTCCCTCCCCACTGATAACCCTTCATGTGATCTTAATTTCCGTGATTCTCTTCTTGTTCTAGTTGTTTGCTTAGTTTGTTTTTGTTCCATGCAGTTCAATCTTCTTGCACTTCTGGTTTTTGTTTTTGAATTTGTTGTGCTTTTGGTTATGCAAGGAGGCAAAGTGTATCTCCTATTTATTTATTAAATCATTTCTTTCTTTATTGTTAGAGAGGGGAGAATGGCGGAATCAAGAGATGGAGAGAAACTTAATGTGTGGTTGCCTCTCATGCACCCCCTGCTTGGGATGTGGCCTGCAACCCAGGCATGTGTCCTGACTGGGAATTGAACTGGTGACCCTTTGGTTAGCAGGCCAACACTCAATCTACTGAGCCACACCAGCCAGGGAAGACAATTACTCTTGGAACATCGGTTATCAGGGGAGAGAGCAAATGCAGAACCCCACTATCACAAATTATTTGGTCAAGTTTCCCACATTTGGAGAAATTGCAGGGGACAACACACACAAAGTACAGTGGGTGGGCCTAATCCTGGGAAGATCACCTTCTTGACATGGTACTTCCCCTAACAGGTAAGTATCTCATTTTAGAGACTATTGTATTCCTTCAGCAGTCTGGAGAACCCTGGATACAATGGGGCCGGGGCTCAAGAAAACAAAATAAAATTTTTTACAGTTTTTTCTCATATATATTATATATTTTTCTTACATCTAAATCAGGTACTTTTCTTTTTTTATATTTTATTGATTATGCTATTACAGTTGTTCCATTTTTTTCTCCCCTTTAATCCCCTCTACCCTGTACCCCCCTCCCACAGGCATTTCCCCACCTTAGTTCATGTCCATGGGTTGTACATATAAGATGTTTGGCTTCTCCATTTCCTATGCTGTTCTTAACCTCCCCTTCTCTATTCTGTACCTACCATTTATGCTTCTTTTTCCCTGTACCTTTTCCCCTGTTCTCCTCCCTGCCCCTCCTCATTGATAGACCTCCCTATGAGCTCCACTCTTATGACTCTGTCCTGTTCTAGTTGCTTGCGTAGTTTGTTTCTGTTTTTGTTTTAGTTTCTGTTATTGATAGTTGTGAGTTTGTTGTCATTTTACTGTTCATAATTTTGATCATCTTCTTTTTTCTTAGATAAGTCTCTTTAACATTTCATATAAGGGCTTGGTGATGCTGAACTCCTTTAACTTGACCTTATCTGGGAAATACCTTATCTGTCCTTCCATTCTAAATGAAAGCTTTGCTGGATAGAGCAATCTTGGTTGTAGGTCCTTGCCTTTCATGATTTTGAGTACTTCTTTCCAGCCCCTTCTTGCCTGCAAGCTTTCTTTTGAGAAATCAGCAGATTGTCTTATGGGAACTCCTTTGTAGACAACCGTCTCCTTTTGTGCTGCTTTTAAGATTCTCTCCTTGTCTTTCATTTTGGGTAATACAATTAGGATGTGCCTTGGTGTGTGCTTTCTTGGATCCAACCAACTTCTTTGGGGTTCTCTGAACTTCCTGGACTTCCTGGAAGTCTATTTCCTCTGCCAGATTGGAGGAGTTCTCCTTCATTTTTCTTTTTTTTTCAAATAAGTTTTTCATTCCTTGCTTTTCCTCCTCTTTTCCCATGCCCAGGATTCTGATGTTGAAAAGTTTAAAGTTGTCTTGAGGTTCCTAAGCCTCTCCTCGTTTTTTTGAATTCTTGTCTTCATTCTGTTCTGGTTGAATGTTTATTTGTTCCTTCCTGTCCAAAATGTTGATCTGAGTCTCGGTTTCCTTCCCTTCACTGTTGGTTTCCTGTACATTTTCCTTTATTTCACTTTGCATAGCCTTCACTTCTTCCTCTACTTTGTGAACATAGTCAACCATTTCTGTGAGCACCCTGATTACCAGTGTTTCGAACTCTGCATCTGATAGGCTGACTATCTTTTAATCACTTGTTCTGGAGCTTTGATTTGTTCTTTCATTTGGGCCATTTATTTGTGTGTGTGTCTTGACTCGCCTGTTACTTAGTGTGTTGGGGGAAATTGATAGCTATCTTAAGACACAACACAGTGACTAGAGAGTGATTTGTTTTTGCAGCCCTGTTGTTTTCTTTTGGCTTCTCTGGATAACTACTTATCGTCTGCATGACAGAGATAATGCTCTGCTTTCTGCTTTCTGCTTCTGTAACTGCCTCCTGCTTTCATGCCAGAAGTAAGGGTCCAAAGGACGGGCCCTCCCTTGCTGTATAAAAGTAGAGCTCCCCCACTGTTGAGTGCCCAGAATTTGGAGACTGACTCCTCTGGGCCACACACATAAGATAAACTTCCACTTCGTACACCGGAAAGTGGCTGAGTTGCTTTCTGTAACATTTTGGTTCCCTGACCAGGAAAGACACTCATGTGAGCAGGCTTTTTTTTTTGCCTCAGGTAAGGGGCAACGGGGGAATGACCCAGAGGCATCAGGCTGCAAAAGGGAAGCCTGTGCCCCACTGATTTGGGGTCCTGGCCACCCCGGGCTTCGTGGAAGTCATCCTCTGGACTGCTGTTCAACCCGGGCAGGCGGGGTGTGGACTGGAACTATCCAGACCTGAGAAGGTGCCATTCGGTAAGTGCCCCAGGGACCAGAGCCGGACGCCGGCCCACCCCTTGTGGTGGAAGGAGAGACTGATCACCTCTCAGGCAGGCAATTAGCCCTAAGACCTCTGGAGACCAATTAATTGGCCATCTGGAAGGGGAAACGTATACCCACCTGGGCAGTCCTACTCGGGCGGGACTGTATAAACTCTTGAATGTTTGTCTGTGTGTTTGTAGGAGTGACTGTTTGTGGCTCCACGGGTGACAAACCTACAGATCAAGAGTGACCCCCACCCCCGCTGGAGGAATGGGAGGCCACTGGAGGCCAGCATGCCCCCCTGTACCTGGTCCTACTAAACGGGTTGCCAAGGAGACAAGCAGGGCTACCCCAGCTGAGCCCCCTTGATTGAGCCAGGAGCGAGCTGCAAAGACCTCCTGGGCCTCTGCTGGCGGCCCCAGCAGGGGTCCTTTAGGAAACCAGATACCTTCTGGGACCAGGGAGCCACCAGATTGCCTAAGCAGAGGAACCAAGAGTAAAAAGAATGATAGATAAATCTAGATAAGTAGAAATATGTATAAAGGATGTGAAAGTTTTAAACCTGGAGTAAAGGAAACCTCAACTACTTGTTTTCTGGTTTTGTGGGAAAAGAGCAAACTTCTCACATGTGGTTCTGTTTCTGATCAGAAACCTGTATTGTAAAACCTAGGAAAGGTTGCCTCTAGCTGGTTGGGGAGAATGCCTTTGCCACTTGGGACCCAGGAAGGGGCTTTAGTCTGAGGCAAAGCAGCATGTCTCTGCCATGAGACCAGGCCTGAAGGAGCATGTGTCTGTGAGGCACCAGTGGACGCATTGGTGCAAGAGAATGCCTCTACCTGTGTGTTGTTTTGGAAGTCTGTGTTTCGGATTTTTCTCTGTATCTGCTCTGAGAAGGAAAAAGAAAAAGCCCACTGGCAGGTGACAAAGACCAGGGTTACAGGCGCCTACAGTCCTCAGCCTAGCTGGCTTAGACCCAGACCAGACTGCAACAGGGCTTCAGAAACTCTCCCACTCCCCTCGGAGAGGCCCTGACCAGAGATCTAAAATTATTCACTGAGAAGGAGACTGACCCAGTGTTACTGCAGTGTGTAGATGACCTCCTTTCAGCCGCACCAACCTGAGATGGGTGCTGGGAGGGCCCTTGCCAGCTGTTGGAACTGCTAACTGAGACAGGGTACCGGGTGTCCTTAAAGAAGGGGCACAAATTGAAACAGAGTGGGCACACTGCATACTGACCCCAGAGCTCAGGAAAAGTAGAGCGCATAAACCAGACTCTCAAGGAAGCTCTAGCTAAGTTCCACCAGGAGACTGGACTACCTTGGACTAATTTGCTGCTGCTGGCACTGCTTAGAATTAGGAATGCCCCTAACCCTTCAGGCTACACTCTGTATGAGTTAGTCTTTGGCAGACCTCCTACCATCCTCAGAATAGATAAAGGGGGACCCCAGACAGCAGGAACTCCCATGGTGATGTTACCTTCCGGGGAGGTGAGGCCCACTATGGCTTCTCCCACCCTGCTAGTGGGAGAAGTCTCCACCATGGATTCGCAGCTCACCTGCTGCGCCAGGGGCCTTGGGGGCCTCCTTTGCTCTAGAGACTGGAGCCAGAGCCTTGGGGCTGCCAACGTAGGTGGACGGAACCAGAGTCGGGGTGCTGCCATTTTGGGTAAAATGGATGAGCCCCGTGAATGCCCCACCATGGAGGAAAGAGCAGTCATGGGCGTCGCCATCTTAGAACTGGCTAAGGCTTCTTTTCAGATTATGAGCTCTCTGCTGCTGCTGTGTGGACACTGCAGCAGTCAGGTTCTCTGTGTAACTGGTTCTGATAGGAATAGCTCTAGTTTTGAAGGTCATGAACTGAGGTCCAAGGCTGACCATCTGATTTATAGGGTGTTTGCAAGCTCTAAGCTTCAGAAAAATGAAAAATGTCCCCGCGAATCTAGGGACTTTTAGTAGAAGAAGCCGATAGTACTAGGGACTTTTAGCTGCCAAATCCTGAGTTTAAGTACAGTCCTTCCCAGTGTGGGAAAGGAACAGGGATTAAAAGTGAATTGTGGATAAATCTAGATAGGTAAAAAAGCTATAGAAGGTTTGTGAATATTGCAGAAAGTCTGTGGGAACTTATAAAAATAAATAGAAATGTGGAAGTTTTGGAAAGAAATTATGTGGTGTCAGTTATGGAAGGTGGATCTAATACCCATCAAGATCCATGAAGATGTATCTTGATGGGTATTAGAAGGAGAAAGATTTTCCTTCAAGCTTTGTGTTTTCTCCCTACCCGATCCCTCCAGAATTTGGCATTCTGAAGGTATAAATGATGACCTAAGGTTTCTTTGCATAAAACCAGTAAGACCAATAAGTGGTTTTGTTAACCAGGACTTTGACTGGAATGTCACTCATGAAGGAGGCGTGTATGGGTTCTGGTCATTACCAGAGAGCTCAGAGGAACTTGGATTGACCTGTGAAGCTAGCGAAAGCCCAGGAGAAAATCCTGGTACTTTGGTTGGTTGTGTAGTTCCAGTCAGCCTTTCCAGGGAAGGAAAGAAGTTTGCTTTCCTGAAAGATGGCTAAAAAGGAACCCGTAGACACAATAGAGGCTCAAGAATTTGAGTGAAATGACTGGTACAAGGGAAGCGAGATGGCAGATGTGTGGCTCTGCTTCTGTGCCCCAAGGGGTGGACTGAGAAGTCAATCTGAAGGTTCCCTGAGTGAGTTCCAGCAAAGCGGACTTAAGGATCATAAGTAATCCAGGCTGCTCTTGGTGTGTTTATGCAAATGAAGAGTCAAAATAAAAAGTGGGACCCAAAGTAGTCCCTGTAGTAACAGTAAGGGTGATCTTCAGGACAAAAATTATAGTTCAAGGAAAATCACTATGCTCAGTATTGGCCATCAGAATGGCATAGCTAACTGTCTTAAAAGTTTATTTTCATTTAAGAGTTGAAGCCAGGTTTGTGATGTTACCAAAAATGTACAGACTACAGGTGCAAAGGACCTGTCAAATTGCCACTGTTAAATGTCATTGCAGGAAGGACCTTGCAATGGAATGTCATCCCAAAAGACAGTCTCACAGGCACAACGACTGGTTTGGGGATTATTATGTGAATTAACCTGTGTGTTCTTCTGTTTTCATAGGGCGTATGCCTATGACCTGCCTATGCCAATGACCTGCCTATGCCTATAGATGAATAGTTACAATATAGGCCTCACTTAAGGAGCCCATCTTCGTCATTGCCCTCCCCCACCCCCGCCCTGAGACTCAACGGTTTGATTGAACAGTTGATAAAGGGTTGGGGCGGTCTGTGGGCTTCACTTTAGAAGTGATACTCCCTTTTTTGTCTTGATAGCTTGGACAGAAAGGGCTCAGAAATCTGAAAGGAGGGAAATCCTAATGTATTCCCCTCAGCCCGAGTGAAGTATAGTAGGCCACAAGAGTCTTGGATTGGTGCAGCATGCCATGTACACCTTCCTCCAGATAAGCCATTCTTTACTGAAGTCCCTGCCTTTGTCACTTAATAGTTATAATTTAGTGACAGCCAACTGACCAGGTCCCTGTAAGGTCCTTCCCCTTGCAGCAAGGACTCCGTCCATGCTGTACCCCCTCCCTCCTCTTTCAGGGTACCCCTGACCCAAGGGTAGGTAGGGCGAAGTCCATGTTTAGCCAGAAGTAGTTACAAGAAAATGAGACCTTCGTCCATTGTCCTTTGTATGATTCCAGAAGGAGAAAGAAATCTCAGAACCCCTCCCTAGTAATAGATAACAGGAGGAGAAAAATGATGAGGAAAGAAACCTCATTAATGCTCTGAATCCAGGGAAAGGGGGGACCTGTATGTTCTCAGGAGAGAAATGCTGCTACTAGGTAAATCAGTCAGAGATCATAACAAAGAAAGTTAAAGAAATCAGAGAGAATATAAACCGCTGCACCAAAGAAACAGAAAGTTAGAATTAGAGAACCGGGGAATAAACCCTCAAGCCTGGCTCCAGTGATTGCTCCCCTTCCTGGGACCCCTAATCATCATTTTCTTAGGCCTGAGTTTTGGCCCCTGTGTACTACGGACCATAGTCCAGAGTCTAGAGGCCACAGTGACTCACAGAACAACCGCCAAGATCCTGTCCCTCCAGAGACATCATTATCAGATGATAACCCAAGATTTATAGGCTAGCCTTACAGTGGTGCTAGACCAGCTAACAGTGCTATCAAGCATCAAAGCGGGGAATGTTGGGAGAAATTGATAGTTATGTTAAGACACAACACAGTGACTAGAGAGTGATTTGTTTTTGCAACCCAGTTGTTTTCTTTTGGCTTCTCTGGATGACTACTTATCGTCTGAATGACAGAGATAATGCTCTGCTTTCCTCTTCTGTAACTGCCTCCTGCTTTCATGCCAGAAGTAAGGGTCCAAAGGACGGGCCCTCCCTTGCTGTATAAAAGTAGAGCTCCCCCACTGTTGAGTGCCCAGAATTTGGAGACTGACTCCTCTGGGCCACACACATAAGATAAACTTCTACTTCGTACACCCGAAAGCGGCTGAGTTGTTTTCTGTAACAAGTGAGGAGCAGAGCCTTAGGTATTCACCAAAACAGGGCAACCCACATTGCTGGGTTGTGACATTGTATGTGGGGAGGGGTTGAGAGGGAACAATGGCTTTTGCTCTGCTCTCTGCCAGATGTCACTCACTTCCCCTGCTTCCCACAAGCCAGTTGGGCTCTTCTGGTGCTGATTCCCGTGTGGGTGGGTTTGTGTATGTTCTAGGACCCTGTGGGTCTCTCCAACAAATCCTCCCATGAGGCTGAGAGTTTCTCCACCACTGCAATTCCCACAAGCTTTTATGGCCTCTTTTACATTCCGAGGTTTTGAAGCTTTATTTCCCTGTGTTGAAACCCTGGGTTCCATGGTCTGTCTCACTCCCCAGTTGTTCCTCTTGGTTTATCTGTACACAAATGTTGGACAATCCATTCCACCAGCCACTGCCTTGTAGTGATTCCTCTCTACCCAGCTTCCCATCTCTGCCCCTGGTACCCCTCTGGATGAATGTTTCCTCTTTAACTCCTTGGTTGTCAGACTTCCATACAGTTCAGTTTTCCTGCAGTTCTGGTTATGTTTCATTTAAATTTGTTTTTGCCCTCCTTTTGGTTGTGTGAAGAGACAAGGTCTATCTACCTACGCCTCCATCTTGGCCAGAAGAAAAGTCAGGTATTTCTTTTTTATCCTAGTGTAATTGAATCCCCATTCCCCAGGTATAACATGTTTATTATCATTTTTGTAGACACGTGTATATGTTGAAGAAGTCATGTTATGGTCAAATTGATGTGTAATATATTATCATTGAGTTGGCCCCATTCATGAAAATAAAACACTACATTCTTTATTCAGGAGAAGATTTTTTAATGACAATTCTAACCACTTAGTAGTAACACATTGTCTTGTAAAGAGGCCCTGCTGGTCATCTGGAAGAATCTGGGAAGGAGCAGAGCTCCGATGTAGCCACAGAGCTGCATCAGCTGAATGGGATCCACTGCCTTTAGCTGAGCCCTAATCCCATTGACTGGCAGCTTCGGCTGTCTCCTGTCTGAGGAAGCGGCTGACCTTCCCAGGTTTCTGGCCTAGAAGGGGCTCTGGGCTTCTTCCTCATCCTCTGCTGGACCCCAGGGACCTGGTAGTGGGGCTGGGACAAGCCAGCCCTCAGCAGGGAAGACATAGGCTGCTTGGGTGGCCATGGCATAGATGGTCTGCACCTGGGTGCACAGATGCTCCCGGAGCTGGATGAGCAGGGCATACTTCTCCCAGCTCAGCGAGAAAGGAAGCTGCTGCTTCTGCAGCAGAACGATGTTCTGATAAATGGCCTCCGACATGGTGCGAAGGGAAGTCACCAGGCTTTTCCGAAGTAGAGGAGGTGTCTGGACTCCCGAGGACCGTGATCTGGTCCTCCTGCTGTGCCCAGTGCGCCTTCTCTGGGCTCTCCCATGACAGGCATTTCCAGTCTCTTTGCTGTCACCGCTTTGGTCGGCATCAGACACTTTTCCTATCTTTTCCGAAGTCACGCTGCACATCTCTTCTAGAGAGGCCCCTGCAAAGGAAGCTTGTGGGTGAGAGACGTGCCAGATTAATTCCCAGGGGACCATCACTCCCAGGTCTCAGCCAGTGCCCTCAGGGGAACCCCACAGCCATCCTGCTCCTTTCAAGCCCTTTTATTTCTGTGCGACCACACTTATCCTATGTCCCCAAATGCTCCCTGAACCCCAGAGTCTCCAAAACCACCAAGCAGACCCTCTCCTGCCCGTGCACTGGATGTTCCCCGCTTTTCCTCCTGTGCCCCCCTGGCCCCCAAGGTAACCTCCTACCTGCTGTCTTGCCGAGGCCGTCCCTGGAAGTGCGTTTCCTCTTCCTGGGGCTCTCCCAATTGGAGCAGCTTTCTGGTTCTGCAGATAAAGTGTGAGTTTCAGTGACTGCTCACTTCCCTGCCATTCCTAGAGTTCAGGATCTGCACGGTTCTGGCTGCCACAACTGGGTTCTGGGCACCCAGTTCACTGCCCCGAGAGACAGATACCCATATCCCGTCCCTCTTTCCCCCCAAAGTAAAATCTCACCTGATAGATTGCAGCTATTTCTGCCTTTGAGTCTCCTCTTCTTACAATTCTCTTCCTCATTTGTCTTGGCCTCTGACCCTGGACAAAAAGAGGGAGTTTAGGTGACTGGCCTCCCTGAAGGCACACAGAAACCCCTATTTGTGGACAGTTCTCTCCATCGACTGGTCAGTACTTGTGGGCAACTCTCTTGACTGAGGGTGTTTGGCTCATGTCACACTTGACATGAGCACCATGGTTCCAGAGGATCATTGTCACGGTTCCTCAGGCACCCTGAAGGCTAGGTAACGTTTTCTACCACCCATGTCAAAATAAAACCCAACTGGAGACAAAAGTGCTGGGTTTCACCCTGAGCGGTGTGGCTCAGTTGGTGGGAGTGGCATCCCACAAACTGCAAGGCTGTGCGTGGGTTCGATTCCTGGTCAGGGCACGTGCCTGGGTTGAGGTCTCAATCGGGGCACATAAGAGAGGCAACCAATCAATGTTTTTCTCTCACATCCGTGTTTCTCTCCCCCTTCCTTTCCCTCTCTCTAATCAATAAGCATGTCCTCACGTGAAAATTAAACAAAAATATTTTTTAAAAATCAATCGATCAATCAGTTAGTGAAAATGTTATTTCATCTCTATGGTCTCCCTCTGAGGTGTGTGTTACTATAAAACAAACAAAGAAATAAATAGATAATATGGGTTTCCCTGATCTCAAACCTCTTTCCAGCCTCCACGCAGCCTGTTTTTACCTCGTCTTTGGATGTCATTCTCTCTTGACTGGGAAGAATCCTTGCCTTTTTCTTCTAGTAGTTTCTGATCCACATCTGAGTGCCTTTCTTCAAAAACGTTCTTTTGGGAGGGAGGCTGGTCGGTGGCACTTTGGATGGAGGGGCTCTGGGAGTCTGAGTTTTCTGTCCCCGAATCCATCTTGCAGCCCAGATGAAAGACCCTTCCTGAGACACATCCAGGACCAGAAGTGAGAGTTGACCTGATTTGCCTGCCTTTTATGGGCCACTCACGGGGCGTGGCTCGCTCCTATTGGCTGAAAAGTATTCACTTCCTGTTACTCATTCGAGATTCCCCTAGGCTACATATAGATAAGAATGTAGCTGATTGTGTCCTGTCAACAAACGGCCCCTGCCACGAAAATTATGCCAACAGGAGTTTCCAATATGGGGTTTCCAATGAACCATAGAGCGTTATTATAAATGCAGTGTTATTCCTGCAGGCTTCCCACTTGCAGTGTTGGACTTTCATATGCCCTAGCTCCTCCCGAGGATGCTCTCAACTAATCATGTTTCCTAAAAGTTCCAGTTAGTCTTCATCAAAAAGTTGACTCAGCAATTGATCAAAGTACAATATTAAGAATTCACAAAGGTGGACTCAGATGGCAGGAACACTGTGCAGGGGTCTGGAGGCTCAGTCTGTGGCATTTCCCTCAAATGCACAGTGTGTGAGATGCCTCCGGAAGCAATGGTTGCCAGGCTCTGGTTTTAAATTTGTGCCCAGTTAGCTGTTAGGAGTGCTTCTTAGGAGTGCTATGGCCTCTCACAGTTCAGGTTGAACTGCAGATCCCCACACAGATAAGGAAAGACTATGGCAGGGTCCTGACATAGACTCAAAAACAGGATAGCAAAGCTGGGAAGCTGAGGGATTGAAAGGCAGAGAATTCCTCCCCATCTTGATTCTGGCCAACAATCTACCCAGATTTATTCAAGACCCTGACCAGAATTCTTCTGCTTCTTCCACCATGAAATGAAAAGTCAGGGCTGCTCAAATGTACCTGGATAACAGGCTAATCAGGAAGATAACTTTTAGATCAATAAAATGCATCTATTTTCACAATTCTTCTGCATGGTAATTTCATCCTACAGAGGACACAGAAGAGGTATATTTTAAGAAGTAAGTGTTTGCCAGACCCATTATGCAAGTGATGTATTTCTTTCTCATACTTGCCTTTGGGTCTTTAAGGACTAGATTTTACTGTAGGAAAGGTACAAGTCAATTTTATATATGAATACCTCTGACAAATATCAGATACTTGTATGCAAGTGAAATCATCAATGACCTTAAAGTAATTAATTATAAACATGGTGTCTCAGTAATAATATTTTTAAGCTTTGAAGATAGATATTTTATACATTCACACATTGTATACAATAAAGCATCCCTCTCATTACTCCCGAGACCACTTCGAAGTGTGCCAGCGTCCCACCGGTCTGGTCTGTGTCATCCAATCAGATTTTTGTCTTGGGGTGGGGGGGTTGGGTGAGGAATGGAACCGGAAAACTTTGATGCAAACCTTAGAATTATGTATTTCTCTAAAAAGTAAGTTGGGAATCATAACATTTATTTTTAATAAATTATTCTTCAAATATATATATGGAAGACAACAAAGACTTGCAGGCTAATGTAACTCACAATTATTTATTTATTTTTATATTATCTACTACACAGTTCATATTTGCATTCTCTCAAATTAATCAAACACATTTTAAGTTATTTACTGTACAGCAATAGAACTGATCGATTGTCTGAAAAGATCATTTAAGACCCACTAAAAAGCAGAAGCATATAATTGCAATCTTCATTACTCAGAAGGAAAGTGTGTCCATGATATATAAAAATTAATTTATACTCACTCAAAACAAAAAGGACACAATTCAAAATAAATCAGAATATAATTGTTATATTTATACATTTAGTATTTAAGAGAAATTTTACAGGTTAGTAAATTTTTGTGGTGAATAATGATGATGATAGGAGACTCGAGGATTGGAAAATTTCAGTGTAAATAATTGCTAATGAGCTTAGTGATCAGTGCGAATAAAAGCTATCATTCCAGGAGCTGTCGTCAGGGTGTGACTCACCCTGACTCCAGGAGACCACAAGCAGTTCCACCTTTGTGCCTCAGGGGGACTGCAAGCCGTGAAGATGGTATCTGAGCCATTGTACTCCAGGGTGAGAGGACCACTGTCCAGGACACAGATAGAGACCACTGCAGGGGGCAAGGATACTGCAGGTCTTTTAATCCAATTAACTTTTCCCTGAATTCAAAATCCCTTACTTACACTTTGTTCTCCTGATAAAAAGGGCCATTTTAAAATGGAATGTGAGACGGTCCGTTAGGGTATGAACCCACCATCTCCTCAGTTCGCCGGCCACCTGAATAAAGCGCCCATAGAGAATCAATCCCTGTCTCTGCTCATTGGGTTCGCTATGTGGCAGGCAGTATGAATGCTGGTCTCTTCCGGTTTCATATTTTGGTGATTCCACTGGGACAGACTTTGGGACTCTTCGGTAAGTGTGGGTATTCGGCAAGGAGTCCCATTGGCTGCCTGGACTGAGAGGCCTCAGAGTTTGTGTTTGGAGATTCCCAAGCAGCTGCCAAGTGATTTCACTTGGGGACTCTCCCCCTACTGCCAGCACTTCTCGTCATTTATCATGTTTGATTGAATTGCTGTGCTTCCTGTTTCAGGTTAAAATCCCAGGTCACGACTGAGGTCATCTGGTTAAGGTACCATTTGGTTTACAGAGCTGTGTCTGGAGGGTGGGAGGGGGAAAAGATGTCTGATTTTGTTAAGAAAAGCCCCCGTTCTGGAAAACAGCCCACTGGGGCCAGTTCTGGCTAATCGGTTGACTTATGCTTATAAACGTATGACTAGAGCGAATTCGGCTTTATTTTAATACTGCTCAGCTTGTGTATTGTCTGCTCTAGACTCAGGAGAGCACTGGCCGCTGAATTGGTCTTTAGATTCCCATGTGGAAGATAGTAGAGGCTCAGAGGAGAGGGACCAGGGAGACCTAGATATTATGGCTGCTTCAAGCAAGATCAGACTCCCCAGGCCTCTCTAGCCCTGGGGACCTACTCAGCTGAGGGAACTGGGGAGAGTGCGCCTGAACTGGTATATTTGGGTAACTAAGATGAGCAATGCTCCCATAGCCTTGACTGGGTCCAGTAAACTGTATTTGCATAAACTTGAGTCGACCTGCATGTGCAGAATCATGCTTGTTATGCGATATTTTAGCACTCTGCCGTCTCTATGTACATTTAGTATATAAGGGACTAGGGGTGTCCCGCTGCGTGACTTGTGGCTTGCAGTTTGCATGAATCACCCATCCTGGAATAAAGGCATGTCTGGCATTCTCACAGCCCCGTGAATTTTCTTCCATCTGCCTGAATCTCAAGTTGACCTGCCTAGCCTTGACAGGCTGCAAGGCAATTGCTGATCTTATTATGAACATTTATGTTGTGTCCAATATTTTCTTTCTGTTAGCTAACACAAGGGTCTCAAGGTCTGCGTTAAGGTGTCTGTGAAACAGGCTGTGAGAGAACTCACAAAGAAAAAAAAGTGTAGAGAATAACGTTTTTATTCACTCTCAGAAAAAGGAGGGCTGCTTTCCAGAACGGGGGTTTTTCTTAACAAAATCAGACATCTTTTCCCCCTCCCACCCTCCAGACACAGCTCTGTAAACCAAATGGTACCTTAACCAGATGACCTCAGTCGTGACCTGGGATTTTAACCTGAAACAGGAAGCACAACAATTCAATCAAACATGATAAATGACGAGAAGTGCTGGCAGTAGGGGGAGAGTCCCCAAGTGAAATCACTTGGCAGCTGCTTGGGAATCTCCAAACACAAACTCTGAGGCCTCTCAGTCCAGGCAGCCAATGGGACTCCTTGCCGAATACCCACACTTACCGAAGAGTCCCAAAGTCTGTCCCAGTGGAATCACCAAAATATGAAACCGGAAGAGACCAGCATTCATACTGCCTGCCACATAGCGAACCCAATGAGCAGAGACAGGGATTGATTCTCTATGGGCGCTTTATTCAGGTGGCCGGCGATCTGAGGAGATGGCGGGTTCATACCCTAACGGACCGTCTCACATTCCATTTTAAAATGGCCCTTTTTATCAGGAGAACAAAGTGTAGGTAAGGGATTTGGAATTCAGGGAAAAGTTAATTGGATTAAAAGACCTGCAGTATTCTTGCCCCCTGCAGTGGTCTCTATCTGTGTCCTGGACAGTGGTCCTCTCACCCTGGAGTACAATGGCTCAGATACCATCTTCACGGCTTGCAGTCCCCCTGAGGCACAAAGGTGGAACTGCTAGTGGTCTCCTGGAGTCAGGGTGAGTCACACCCTGACGACAGCTCCTGGAATGATAGCTTTTACTCGCACTGATCACTAAGCTCATTAGCAATTATTTACACTGAAATTTTCCAATCCTCGAGTCTCCTATCACCATCATTATTCACCACAAAAATTTACTAACCTGTAAAATTTCTCTTAAATACTAAATGTATAAATATAACAATTATATTCTGATTTATTTTGAATTGTGTACTTTTTGTTTTGAGTGAGTATAAATTAATTTTTATATATCATGGACACACTTTCCTTCTGAGTAATGAAGATTGCAATGATATGCTTCTGCTTTTTAGTGGGTCTTAAATGATCTTTTCAGACAATCGATCAGTTCTATTGCTGTACAGTAAATAACTTAAAATGTGTTTGATTAATTTGAGAGAATGCAAATATGAACTGTGTAGTAGATAATATAAAAATAAATAAATAATTGTGCGTTACATTAGCCTGCAAGTCTTTGTTGCCTTCCATATATATATTTGAAGAATAATTTATTAAAAATAAATGTTATGATTCCCAACTTACTTTTTAGAGAAATACATAATTCTAAGGTTTGCATCAAAGTTTTCCGGTTCCATTCCTCACCCAACCCCCTCCACCCCAAGACAAAAATCTGATTGGATGACACAGACCAGACCGGTGGGACGCTGGCACACTTCGAAGTGGTCTCGGGAGTAATGAGAGGGATGCTGTATTGTATACAATGTGTGAATGTATAAAATATCTATCTTCAAAGCTTAAAAATATTATTACCGAGACACCACGTTTATAATTAAT